CGTTTTGAAGGAATCGTTTGAGAGAAAGATTATATGACTCGCTCATAAACACATTCATTTGTTGCCACTTACTGGTGTAACGATGTAACTTCAAGAAAGCGTCACTGAAAAAATAAATAAACGGAGTGATATAAACACTACATATCGACTCTATATCGACAATACGACACGGACCTAATTGTAGCTATAATGTTAAACAGATCATTAAACCCGTAGCACTGCTCAATGTTTATCAAAGCTGCTTGTCTGAAACACCCAGAAGTGCTGTTTCTTTTGCGACAATGAATATGAAAATAAGACATATATCCTGTTTATTTTCCATAGTCAAGCTGAATGCGCTCACAACGGCTTCACAATCAAAACAGTCAATGCTGATGGCGATGTGAAAAACATCGCAACAGTGTTGCTCAATGTATTTGACAGATGATTTGTAACAACTATCAAATGCTATGATGTAATGATATATTCCTAATTCTATGAGCATCCTTTAACGCACAGACATGGCTAGATTAACATATCTGTTTGACTGGTACATTTAAATTAATTAAAGCGTCGAATGGTCATTTTAATGGTGAGCTTTATTTATTTTTTTTTTGTCCATATTAGAAGCTTTTTTACTTACCCAGAAACACCATCAATGCAACACAGGATAATTTCAAAGCGGACGCCCACTGCGTTTTCCCAAAATGCAATAAAATAGGCATTTTGGTCGATGACAATAAACGTAGAGGGAAATAAGACCAGAAAAGCTTTAGCGATCTATTTCTTCGTTTCAATTATACAAAAAAACACGTAAAATGTTTTTATTTTGTGCTATGATATGGCTGGCAGTGTCTGTAGTAGGAAAACTGGTTGATAGTATGGTTGTGGCTTATTATTTATCCTACTTGAGGGTTAAACTGAACCATGTTAGAATACACTATAATAGCAGCAAATAAAATATGATATGAATCAATTTTACATGATTAAAACAAAATCAGAATGCATCTTTATATTACATGTCTCTCATCAATTGAGAACAATCAGAAATCAGCCTAAGAAAATCCAAACGGCCGTTGACGCAAAACCAAATAATGAGGCTCTAGCTTGCAGTAGGACCACCTCTCCTCATCTCCTCACTAATGGAGGTCAAAGTGCACTAGAGATGAGCAGGAGGTGGATATACACATAAAGGGATGAGAATGGTGCCGAAAAATACGATGATGATTATTAAAGATACACATGGGCATATACAGTAGGCAGTGTATTTATCTGATTAGTGAAACGAGAGCACATTCATTGAGGGTGTGCCTTGATGCCAATAATGGTTAGCCACTAGTTTTATTATGATTTGTAAAACTCATGGTCTGTGGTTCCTCAAATCTCAAAGGACAGTTGGCATGAATACATAAGTGTGTAATGCTTAGAACCACTTCTCCACTGCAGGTACATTTTGTTTGCCTCTTCAGAGACAGAGAGACAGTTAGAAGAAGTGGCAATTTCATGCTGATGAGAAGTCATTGAGAAGATAGAGAAAAAGTCGAGGGCTGAAGCTCACAATGAAGTGTAGTAACTATATTGACCACTGTTGACATCTGGTAGATGATGAAAGAGGTGCATGAGGAAACGACACAGATTTATTATGAGGGATAATGTACAGTAAGCTGGTGAGTATTGAAAAAGAGTTCACAAAACAGTCTGTTTGGGGACTATAAAATGCATATCTGACAATTACTCTCACCAATTTAAATGATCAGTTATTCTGTGTCTCATCTTTTAAGCGGCATGATCTGATTGATAAATCTTGGTGGCAGCGGACATATACGGGTTCCTCATCCTTCGGCTGCCAATCAGAGGGAAGACATCTGTCGCGTCCAGCTGTGACAGGAGCGTCTGGTGCGAATGGGAAACTATGCTGCTTCCAGCGATTAAGAATACACACAAACACACACAAACAAAAGCCATTTGACATCTTGTGAACATTTTTTTTACTGTGATAAATGGTTAATAATCAGTTTACACACGAATGGATGTATGCATATACATATTTCACTTACAATAATGAAGATGTACGTCATTAAGAATAGAATTAAGGTGTATAATTAATGTCCACATGACATTTTACAGTATGAAGTCTGTCCTTATTTTGAGATATTAAATCAACTGCAATTTGCATATACGCTTAAGTCTATGAAAAATATATTTAATGTAATGGTGCATTAATATTTGTATAAATATAGAGGGTTTAAAGAGAGTTTTAGAACTTTACATCTTTATGTAATTTCATAATTCTGCTGTCCATTAGATATATATTGAATGCACATTTAAGCATTAAATACTTAAATGCAATTTCTGTTGAAACGTGTATGCCACCTCTTTTTAAATATATTTGTTTTTGCACATTTGTAATGGTGAAGCTGCAATTTAGTATCTTTCATACTAACTTTGTAATATTGAATATTGAAATTATAACTTTGCATACTTTACATGCTAGTCTGCACATCAAAATAAGTGTACGTATTTAAAGCATGAAAATAGTTATTAAAACGATTTAAAATGTACTTCAAACAAATGTTTAATTTGAAAATAATCACTTAAAAAAAAAAAGTACTGAAGTGTGTTAAGAAACATATGAAAGTGTCTTTCATTTACTACACTTAAGTGGACTTTTAGTTCATTCAAATTTTATTATTTGCAAAACAGGTTTCTAAAAATATAGTTTTAAGATTTAAAGTGCACAACAAGCATCAATACAATTATGCACACTTCTTTTTTCACGAGGGAAGTTTAAACTCATGCAAAATCTACTCTCACTTAACACTAACAGAACATTTCATAACTAAAATATTCACATTATTTTGTTTATTTCATATTTTGCTTTCATGTCCATCTTACCATGGTAACATAGATGTTATCTGGACTGCTGGGAGGACTGTTCACGTCTGCAAGGTCAGGCATGCTGAATCCCACCTGAGACACGATGCAAGTCATCTTCAAGACCCAGGCAACAACCCATTTATATGTTTAAGAATCAAACCTCAACCACTGTTTTCTTAATTTAAACAGAATAAACGTAAATCAAAGACAATTTGCTTTAATAATTGACTTTACCACTACAGAAAGCAAAGAGAGGAAATGAGAGCAGACTTGCAGAAGGCAGTTGCATAGATGTGTTACCATGTATGTCATTCCCTTGTCTTCAGTGTCAGTGCCGGTTTTAACCTCTTCCATATTTTGCCTAGTAGAAAATAAAGCACAACATGAAGCCAGAAAAAAATGCCTTACAAGCTGCTATTTCTCTCTGTGAGCTGACAATGACTTACTTTGAGTTGTTTTCTCTCTGGGTTGATCTGTACGCTTTCCTCCCCAAAAACACTGTACCAATTAGTAACACAAACCCAGCCACTGATGCCAGGGGCAGCCGCCAGGGAGGATGTTTCTGCAGATGATTTGCACTTGGGCTGTTTCTCCTGGTCAGTGCTGAAGAAAACAAAGAGGAGAACTGAGTTTGGAGCTCTTACACAATCTAATCCAGAGCCGATCCTCCCTATACGCAAAATAGTTGAAAGCGTACCGAGCCGTGGAAGAGACGCTGTTTCTCAAGTGCTTTCCACGAGCGCGATTCAAGACGGAGTGAAACAGACAAATGCGTTTCATTGATTCGTTCATAACCACTCATTTACACAGTCTACGTATGGTCATTAGTCCTGTCCCCATCACAGAACATGCACACATACAGTTGCTTAAAGGGTTAGTTCACCCAAAAATGAAAATTCTGTCATTAATTACTCACCCTCATGTCGTTTCAAACCTGTAAGTCCTTCGTTCATCTTCGGAACACAAATTAAGATATTTTTGATGGAATCTGAGAGCTGTCTGACCCTGCATAGACAGCAACGCAACTGAAATGTTCCCAAGTCCAGAAACGTAGCAAGGAGATCGGTAAAATAATCCATGTGACATCAGTGGTTCATACGCAGTTATACGAAACTACGAGAATACTTTTTGTGCTCAAAAGAAAAAAAAAACCGACTTTATTCAACAATTCGTCTCCTCCGCATCACCTTAGTGCCATTTTGGAGAATATCTGCTGGACGTAAACAGCGTATGCTGTTCTGTGTCCGAAGATGAACGAAGGTCTTACGGGTTTGAAATGACATGAGGGTGAGTAATTAATGACATAATTTTCATTTTTGGGTGAACTATCCCTTTAACTCTTTTAAATGTCCAGCATAACTAAACATTAACCACTTAAACACTAACAGGTCTTTCCATTTCCTCCAAAAATGAAGAAACCTCACACAATTCTGCATAAGGCTCCAGTTTGACCAGCGACAGCACTGGTTTGATCAACAATAATTGCATTGAAATTGAAGATGAATTTCATTCATCATAAAAAAAAACTGACGACACTTCAAATATTTTGTAACATTATAAATGTCTTTACTGTCACTTGGGATTAATGTAATGAGTCAATTTAATGGCTGAATAATATTATCCCTTTGTCCAGTAACTTTTTGTTGCATGAACAACTGACCCACAATGAGTAATGACTGACAAATAAGCAATAAATAAACTGTGGGAAAAAAAGAGAAGGGTTTTCCACCTGATTGCACAATAAGGTGCGTTTGGTTCTTGTGAAAATTGCCATTGAGACGTAATCTACATAAATAAGTTCCATTGTTCTCATGGGTCACAGATGGGAGATGTATATCAAAACTCCCTAATTCGACATCTCCCTGAAAAAACACACCAGGAAGTGGTACAGTTCGATTTCTGATGTAGTAGAGGATTATTTTTGGCTCAGAGGAAATATCCTGTGTTTAAAAAATACAAAAAGTAACAGAAGTTTAATAATAATAATAATAATAATAACACATGCTTATATAAAAAGTGTAATGCATATTTGTGTGTGTGTCTGTATTCCTAAAAAAGAAAAAAAAGCCTACCTTGAATTCCCACTCTACACTAAGAGACATGACGTCCAGAGGTCCAGGACATTGCCAGAAATTACACGACAAATGGACATCTGTCCCAGCATTAGCCTTCTGGTCTGGACTGGTTATCACACAACCATGGGTTCCATATACTGTCAACCGAATGAGTGCATATTATATTCAAAAAGTAAATTAAAATGCTTAATATGCTTGATTAAAATAATGAATTTGTGCTTACCTGTGAAGATAAATACTATGGACAGGGACCACATAACTGAGCATGAAGACACTGCAAAGTTTGTTTTCTCCCTTATAACAGAATACATAAATATATTTTAAGCGATAGGCAGAAATTCCAAGATCCAGAAGATCTTGTGTATGGACTTCGGATCTCTCACGACTCAAAATTTCTTTGCTGCCATCAGGGAAGTGCTTTAACGTTTCCTGCCACATTCTGTGGTGGTTAATTATCAGTGTCTGAAACCTTTACCACATCCTCTGTGGTCCGAACACATGATCTAACTAAAACAGATGTTTATCCATCGTACAGTTTTCTCATGCAAAAGCAAAAATGAACATAGTTCTTTTGCTTAAAGAGAGCTTATCAGCATTGCAAAGTAGGCCTTTGGTTTCCTTTGATCAGTTATTATCCATCTTATAAGTAAAAATAGTGACTAGTACATTATTCAAACTATCCATTTTGTGTTCCACATAAGAAACAAAGTCATTCAGGTTTGGAACGGCAAGAGGATGAGTAAATGTTGGCTATCCCTTTAAGGAACGGAGGAGGTCGGTCAAATGAACGCAGTACGCTTTCCACAAACAGTAAAACGAATCTCTTTCGCCCTCTAGTGTGTCATTTGATGTCAGCTATTAGATTGAAGAAAGCGAAAGGCGTTTTCCTCAAGAGAACAGTGACAGACATCGTGTTAAACGAAGTTTTCCGGTAGGTACATCACTACATTATTCAAAATATCCATTTTGTGTTCCACATAAGAAACAAAGTCATTCAGGTTTGGAACGGCAAGAAGATGAGTGTTGGCTATCCCTTTAAGGAACGGAGGAGGTCGGTCAAATGAACGCAGTACGCTTTCCACAAACAGTAAAACGAATCTCTTTCGCCCTCTAGTGTGTCATTTGATGTCAGCTATTAGATTGAAGAAAGCGAAAGGCGTTTTCCTCAAGAGAACAGTGACAGACATCGTGTTAAACGAAGTTTTCCGGTAGGTACATCACCTGAGGCAATAATCAAAGTCATTTGTCACATTGAGCGATTCATTCTTTCTGATTCAGCACCTTTAGCTCTCATAAAACACTTTGCCATTTCTGTTGATTTGATGAAGGACACGATTGTCAGATGACGATGTCATTACATGGGTCAGAAATTTCATCAGCATTGTAAAAGGAATTATTCATGAATAAAACATGAGCATTATGCTGCAATACAAAGTGTGTTGTCAAATTGAAATAGCGCTTATACACCAGCAATCTGAATCACTTATGATTGAATCATTGAATTATTCATTAGATCCGTGAGTCTATTCATGAGTAAGAGAATATATAATCAATTATTTGTTACTGAACACATGCAATGGCCAGATGTTTGAACTGAACAAGCTGACTTTAATATGTATTATCTAATCAGAGCGATTATATGATGCAAGATACAACAGTGGCAGTATTCATCGGATGTATGGCAGTTTGCAAATGTAAGCCAGCTGCAGCATCTAGTGGCTCTCGTAAATGCAAATGACAAAGACTTAAATATTCAGAATATCCTTTATTTATTATGCAGTGTGATTCGTCTTGGTGGTTCCAAGATAAGATATCCATTTTCCTTCATGGTTTTTTTAGACACTGAATATTTTAAGCTATAGCCTACCATAAAAAAAGGTCAAAAGTTGTACATTAACATTACACATTCTCTCCTCTCTGAGCAGATAATCAATGGGTTTTTATTGCTAATCTACATTTAATAGTAAAGCTCATCCAAAATTAATATGTACATAATGGCATGGATTGCAAAAATAATACATAAAATTATACATACAAAATAACCTCTTTCAGTTCAGATAGTTTGCAATGAAATGTGCCTGATGTGTTTGAATTGTAAGGATGTTATGTACTGTACTAACTGAGTTATTGTATCTATCTGTAATCTTCTCTTTGACTATGTGGGCCTAGTAAGGAATGGTTCACAAAAAAAAAAAAATAAATAAAAAAATAACAAATATATATATATATATTTGCTCACCCTAAGTGTAGTTGAGTTTTTTGTCTTGTTTTTTTTTTCCATTGAAACAGATTTGGAGAAATGTAACATTACATCACTTGCTCATCAGTGGATCCTCTGCAGTGAATGGGTGCTGTCGTAATAATAATAATAATAATAATAATGTCAGTCCAAACAGCTGATAAAAACATCACAAGAATCCAGAAATAATCCATTGCAGTCTGTCTTGTGAAGTGAAAAGCTGCATGTTTGTAAGGAAAACAACAAGACATTTAAAATATAAACCATTGTATCCATAATATTGCTTTCTCCAGTGAAAATGTCAACTTGTCTGAATCAGGAGAGAAATATGCACAGATCAGGCACTGTTTACAAAAACAGTTCTAAAAATATGTCAGTGGGCTTTGATGTGAGAGGACAACAGAGGGTGGCGTATTATGGATTATGGACTCGTATTTTGGCCAGAAGCAATAGTTTACAGTTAAAATGCCTTAATAATGGATTTGTTTGATGCTAATTGATGGACTGGAGTTGTGTGGATTACTTGTGGATTATTGTGTTGTTTCTATCAGCTGTTTGGACTCTCATTCTGACGGCACACATTCACTGCAGAGGATCCATTGGTGATCAAGTGATGTAATGATACATTTCTCCAAATCTATATCTTGGCTTGCCAGGTGAGTAAATTTTAAGGACATTTTCATTTTTTGGGTGAACTATTCCATTAATGAACAAAGAATATATGTTGCTGACATGCAAATACCGGGTGGTCAAATCTGTTAATATATTAATCTGTCTGACACCAGAATTATACTTTTTTTGCAGTGTAGTTTAAATAAATGGTCTTTTTGCACATCGGAGGAACTTTTGAAAAGGTCAAGGAAAATTAAATAATTCATTATGTGAGCCCTTTAAGAATAGAAATAGATACGTTTTTCATACAGTGGCTGAAATAGCAAAGATCCAGTCAATAAATTATACTGTCTTCAGTTTACAGTAACAGTCTATTAGTTCCTTCCACTGACAGCTTGTTATTTTTGAGCCAATTGGTTGGTCCCATCTCAGAGAACAGCATATGTCTGTTCAATCTTGTACCTTTAATGCTGCTCATATTCGCACTGTGAAGTTGGTAAATTGTGGCGCGTAAATTAGTAAAAAATAACCCAATGATTTTGCTAAATCACATGCCAGAATTCCTTAAAACTGCTGACATTAAAGACTTAATTAAGAAAGCAGATCCTTGTTATTGGTTTAATTATCGGTCTATTTCACATGTCTTTTATCTCCAAGGTACTGGGGAAGGCTGTTGCTCAGCAACTGAGCTCACTCTTGCACTGGAGCAACACTTGTGAGATGTTCCACTCAGGTTATAGATAATCATAGAGGAAGTGTCTGTATTATTTCATACAGACAACTGCATAGACAATGAAAGACTGAAATATAAATTTCTTTGAGAAAGTTCATTTCAGAAGTACATTAATGTTTCACTGACTTTAGTGCACTGGATTAACTATTGACTCAGATGTTTCTTCAGTTGGTGGAGATATTTTAAAGGGGGAGACTTCCTTTGTATTATTATTGCCATTGAAGTAGTATAATACACAGAAATACATTAAATAGTGTAAACATTTAGATGCCAGAACCAGTGAGGTTTATGATTAGTTTCTACTGCATCACCACCTTCTGCTTTGCCTTGTTGTCCATATGCGATGGCTTTTCACACTGCACTTAAGGCAAGGCAAGGACATTTATTTCTAAAGCACAATTAAAAACAACACTAATTTGACCAACGTGCTGTACATATTCTAAAACATATATAAACAGCAAAACATACAATACACACACACACATCTGTTATACAGCACAGGAGCAGTGTTGGGAAGTAACATGTAACTAAATTATGTAAATTTACTTATGGGGGTTACTTTTGATTTTTTTTTTCCACACATCCACATACAGATTTAATTGATTTCTTTCATAAATTGCATTGACTGACCTAAAATATGAGACGGTTTCCTCCAAGCCATTGTTAGATGTCAGTGTTTCTTGTCATAACTACGCAAAGATTTGATAAAAAAAACAGTATCATAGCTACTAAAGTATTTCTTGTTATAGTTTTAAATCTGTATTTAACTTCAGAATGATCTCAAAGTAAGTCTGATTTTGTGGTAGCTGTGCTTTAAAATGAAATTATCATAATCTTAATTCAAGTGATGATGGATTTTGAAAGTCTGACAGTAATCAGTGTTGAGTACAACTGTAATGTTAACCCTTTGTTTGAAAATGATTAACAGTTGAAAACCTTTAGAATTTAGAAAATGTTCATAAAGTAATTAAAATAGTTAGACTATTTATTAAATTTTAGATTGGGTAACTTGTAATCTGTAACCTGTTACATTTCCAAAGTAACCTTCCCAACACTGCACAGGAGTAATATGGTCCCATTTCGGAGAACCTGTCAATAAGCAGTGGCATTCTGGACAATCTGTAATCGTGACATCGTGGACAATGAAAACAATGAAAACAAAATTGGTCCCACAATGGATCCTTGAGGGATCCCACTTGTCTGAGATGCCAAAGATGATGTAAATTCACCCAGGGTAACTTCAAAGCTCCTATTATTTAGAAAGGACTTAAACAATTTTAAAACAGTGCCACGAATTCCTACCAACCGTTCAAGCTGTACTATCATGCTCCCAGACTAGAATACTTCAAATAAAGAATTCCTATAAAAAAAATCAAATAAAAAAAAAGACTAAATAAGAACAGCTTTCTCCAGCACTTTTAAGAGAAAAGGTAATTTTGAAATAGGCCTAGTTTTAATGATCAATTGGTACTGCACCCACATTTAAGAGATTTAAGGGTGTACTACAGCATGCTTAAAAAATAAAGCAGGAACAATCTCTGTCACCTGAGTACTGAGCACCTGCACCTGTCACCAATCAAGCACCTCATCAACCAGCCTGCATAAAAGCACACACCTCAGACACCCTCATTGTCCGGTCTCGTACACTCCTCGTCTCCAAGTGTCTCCTGTTC